TGCATTTGGTTTGAACGGGTGAAGCGCCCTGGTCTGTTAATGTTAGGAGATAATATATCATCGTCGAGGCTGCCAAGAAGTGCCAAATAGATAAAACATACAGTTGTAGGTCATATCTGCGATGTTTGTACGTGGTCACTTCACGAGTCACCCAATGGGATTCTCCAACCTTCAAACCCTCTCTGATGACTGGAACACTCCATCCTGTCAAACCTACACCCGTCACCGATTGTACGCGAACAAAATGTGTCGAACGATCCCCCGTATAGCCGTGCACTCTTACACTGCTAGGTGAATTCATTAGAGTTCGTTGCTGAAAATGTGCTTGTATTCCGTTTTGCTACTCCACAAGATAAGTGGTACCCTCACTCCTTCCCTTGTGCGCCAAGAGTGAGGAAATTGTGCGCTAAACACCTCCTTTCGGATTTCTCGAGTTTGCTGGTCCTTAAACATTTACAAAAGTTCCAGTGTACAGTTTAGAATCCTACAAGAAGTGCAGACAGTGCCATAAAGGCAAGGGCAGTTTAAGTAGTGCCTAGTCCCTAGTCCCAGCATTTTGTCCTACGGAAACGATGGATTTAGGGGTTCTGAGGGTCGGGAAATAGGATACACAGTGAAGGAAATCTGTTGAAGTAAGTGTGAAGTGGAAAAATGTAATTGAATTTGTTTCCGCGGCCGCTGGGAGTAACGTGTTCCGCCTGTAAATTGAAAGTTTGCGCGGCGCTCCGCGCCGCGGACTATATTAATCTACCTCCAGAGCGGTAAGTTGGACCTCAGGTAAGTTGAAGCAGACGACCTGCTAACCATCTTTCTTAGGAATTTCAAAAAACATGCACATTGATAATAGGATTTTTCCGAAATACGTGAAACGATAATACAGATTAGGAAAATTGACAGATATAAATCAAAAACATTTCTAAATAAAATAAAAATGTATATATTAGTTATTAAAGTATATTCCACTGCCTATCCTTATTCCCTACCCATAAAACTAGGGGTATATGTGGTGCACTACTTAAACTACTGTTGCCTGCGATAAACCTACAGATTATCTCCGAGGCCGAATAGCCTAAATAAGAAAACTCGAAGACTTTTTATCCGTCATGGAGTAGAAAGAGGTATTCATTAAACAAAGGATAACGTCTGTTTGTACCTCTTTTCGTCAGTGGAACATGACATAAGTTTATTTTTAAAAATAACACAAAGCAAGTATTTGACATCGCAAATCCCAGTTCAAAAACCAGAGAATCACTTAAATTATAGGAAAAACTCGAACCTGACTGGGATCCGAGGCATTGAAGGTTTTCAGATTCTGGTCGGTCTCTTGGAGCAGATTAAGTCCAAGTTGAAAAATAGGAAAAAGAAGGGTATCCCTAAAGGACATGGACATTTTACGAAGGAAGAAGACGGCACGAGTATGGTCCGACTGAAAATGAAGGAAAACAGGCAATTAAAAGAACCACGTTGTAAAAGCTTGTGACATTTTGGGGGCAAAAAATGTCATTATTAAACTTAGGTAGGAGTAGGGAACGAATGAAATTTCGCAAAGCCTCTGGTCTAAATGGACCGCATAATCAAATAGTATTACCGAATTCGAACACA